GTTCTGTACATCTTGTTACTGTGTGTTTAACTTTCTAATATTCTGGGAATTAATTCAAGAAAAAGACCGAGCTTGAAGAAATACAAACCCGCGATATCTCTACTGCAAACTTCTTGATTTAGAAACAACGAAATATGCAAATTAGCGAATCTTATTGGAAAGCATCCACCTCAATATTCGCTTTTCAGAGTAAGATGTTTGGAATTTAACTGTGTAATGAATACGCGGAAAATACGTACAAATCGGATAAAATATCACACAAAATAGTCCTATCAATACGTAATTGGTGGCTCGGCATGGCCAGGTGGTTAGGGAGCTCGACTCGCAATTTGAGGGTCGCGGGTTCGAATCCCCGTCACACCAAACATGCTCGCCCTTGCACCCGGGCGGGCGTTATAATGTTGCGGTCAATCCCACTATTCGTTGGTAAGAGAGTAGTCCAAGACTTGTCGGTGGGTTGTGATGACTAGCTGCCTTCCCTCTAGTCTTACACTGCTAAATTAGGAACGGCTAGCGCAGATAGTCCTCGTGTAGCTTTGCGCGAAATTCAAATCAAACAAACTGCTTGAATGAAACTGTATGACGTTAATCTAGGGGTTCGGATGTATGGATAATCAAAAACAAAGGATTAAGTAGGATTAAGTAAGTGATTTATCATTGATTGACTTGCAAATGAACGTAAGATTGTTACAGGTGCATAGCTTTGACATCTAGCTGTGACAATATATTTGAAACACAATATTAAGGTCAGCGTTTTCGCACACACACAGAGAGAATACAATTTTGTTAAACCTTGTTTTAATGATAAAGTTACTGAAATATGTATCTCTTCTATGGCGTGGTAACTCTAAAAATTTGGTGTGAAAAGGCCTGTAGTGATGTAATGAAATGTACTCCAGTACGCTGAGTGAAAGAGAGACCATTATCACAGATAAACAAAAACGGTTATGCCAAGAAGAGATGTATAGAATACGATAAGATGTGTAGAATACATAAAAAACACGCATTGTTAAGATATGCAGAACGCACATGTTAAAAGACACATACAGAAAACATAACGATAAGATGTACAGAACACACACAGTAAAAACATTCATACAACACACAGTAACAAGATGTACAGAACACACACAGTAAAAACATTCTATTACCAATCCCAGGGGCGGAAGGTCTTGGTATATAGCACGGTGGTTTGAAACAGGTAAGACAACAGAACCAACAAAGGATTTAGATTTTTATCTAATAAGACAAATATAGGAACAATTATGTTCCTAACAATGTCTCGTTCGATGTCGTAGCTATAGTTACGCCAGAGTGACAGTACACAGATCGATCGAGAATTACAATATACGACACAAAATCGACAAGTAGAGAGTTTCGCACTTGGGTTTAGAAAACGTAAATACTCTCTATACAGTTGTGCTAGTCTTTCATCGACAAGTAGAGAGTTTCACACTTGGGTTTAGAAAACGTAAATACTCTCTATACAGTTGTGCTAGTCCTTCATCGACAAGTAGAGAGTTTCACACTTGGGTTTAGAAAACGTAAATATTCTCTATACAGTTGTGCTAGTCTTTCATCGACAAGTAGAGAGTTTCACACTTGGGTTTAGAAAACGTAAATACTCTCTATACAGTTGTGCTAGTCTTTCATCGACAAGTAGAGAGTTTCACACTTACGTTTTCTAAACCCGGGGTCGATTTCCTGAATCAGTCCCGTATTAGAGAAGTAATAATAACTATAATTGCGAAATGTGGCAAGCTTTTAGTCAACAGCACATATTTGTTGTACACAAAAAATCAGATGTGTTACTAAAGTTTATATATAAAAAGACAAATGTCTGTGAAAAGCAGTCACTCTGACTCAGACTCTGACAAGTCTG